GTCTTTTAGCCCACATTTGGGCATTTTCATTGTATTTGGAAAATCACAAGTTTGAAAAGGAGTCTACATCTCTATGCTCCACACATTGTCATTTTCACAATTTAGACCATTCGGATTATTACTATATTTCATTTCCACTTACATACTTTTGGGAACCAAATTTCAAGTAAAAAAAGTTTTCTTGATATATATATATATATATATATATATATATATCAATATGTTAGTGCTTTACCTTCAAGTAAATACTAAAAAAAATCCAAGAAGCTCAAGCAAACAAATTCTAGGCTGTGATTATCTTAGATGGGTGACCGGTTCAATTATCGAACAAATTTTCCTACATTTTGGTCACCCGACGTTTGATATTCATTTATATAGGTTTGTTTTATTGTATATAGATCTAGTTGTTTTTTTTCGCAAATTGGTGATGTTTGGGAGATTGTCGAGTCAGATACTACGGGAGGTTTGGGCCAACACTGAGTGAATTGATTCCTACAACGGTGCCCAAGCGATGAAATCCAATCACACATGAGAGTAGCCGGCAGACGTGAGATCACACAACTTTCGTGATAAGAGTGTACACTTAAAGAAGAGCTCCACACAAGCTCGTCCATCTGCTTTCTCCCTACTACAAATGTTCTTCATTGTATGCATGCTCCGTTGGGGCTGCGACTGACCGTCCTTCCTTACTCACCTAGAGGAGTTGTCCTAGCTGTGGTTTATGGTTCCATTGTCATCGGATAAAAAATTCTTGGGATAACAACGAGCTTAGTTCTGACCATGTTGACTAACGGTGATCTGGTTCTATGGTTCTATCCATTCTTTTTATTTTCTTTACGATAGTTCATCCCAAGTTCATTTTAGTCTTGTTTACTTAAGGACAAGTAAGGTTTAAGCTTAGGGTGATTTGATAGTTTCATTTTATTTACTTCTTTTTATAGTTTATTTTAGTATATTTCAATCATAATTTAGTTAATTTCCATGCATTTTTTCATTTTTTTTTATTTTATGATTATTTTGGGTACTTTCTAGTTTAGTAAGCATAATTGCAGATTTTAAGGAAACTAGCAGAGCAGGATCTTTAGGAGGCGATTGGACTTTGAGGACAACAAGGATTATGGGCTTGATGGCTAGTGAAGATGATGCATGGAACGAGCTTGATGATTATTTGAAGGCTTGGAGAAAATGAACTTTGAATTTGCAAGAAACGGAAGAATATTCGAGCGTGTGGAGATTATTAATCGGACGAGTTTCCGAGCTATGGGCAATTTGGAGAAGCCAAATTGTGCTTAAAATGAAGAAAACTTGAAGAAAATGGGCTAGGAGCTGGTTGGACTCGAATTGGGCCAAGTGGCTAAGCTGTGGAGGCCCAATACTCAAAGAAGCCACATCCAGGGACCACCCGCGCAACCCACCCGTGCACAGCTGCGCAGCCGCGCACGACACTGCAGGGGTAATTTCGAAATTTCATTTAGAAGGCTATTTGAGGAAGGTTGGTGTGCATCTTTTGCACACACTTGCACATACTTGTACATCCGATTTCGGGAGCATTTTCTCTGGAGATTTTGAAGACTTTAAAGGCCAAGAACACTCGAAGAACATCATATTTTCATCTCTAAATCTTGTTACATGTTTGGTACATTTTACTTTAGCTTTAGTTCCTTGAGTTTAGCCATGTTAGGCTAAACTAATCTTGGTTGACTTTGGTGAAATCCTTTGAATTTTTGTTGAATGTTGAAGACTCCATGAACTTGTTCTTGAATCTTTATGACAATATTTTGTGTTTTAACATCTTATTACTACTTGTATGTATTTATTCATGAGTTTAAATGTGCTTGTGGTGATTAGTTGACTAATTTCTTGATTAAGTAAATGATCCTCAAATTAGCAAGCAACTAATGATTCTTGTGTTAGTTTTGCTTCACACAATCATAAAAACATTTTCTACAACACTATAGTGAAAGCATTTGACTCCTCTTGGATTTGGTGACTTTTAGTTTTTAATGCTAGTTGACTTTCACTAATTACATGCTTAATGGAAATTGTGACTTTGACAAGGAAATTGTTATGAGCTTCTCTAACCATTTTAACAACTAAGAAAAGTCTAGGTAATCTCAAGCTTTTTGGATTACTATAGCCAAATTAAAGGTTTAAAACAAGTATTGCACAACTGGATTCTAATGATATGTTCCTCAAATGTTCAAGTGAGGAAACCTTAAGTCAACCATCTTTCTCTTATTGATTTTACATCAAACTCTTATTTTTGTTGAATTGTCTATTTAAATCTTAGTTTAACTCTAGTTTTATTTGAAGTATTTCAAAGGAACTAAACCCCCATTTTTATTTTTATTGTCATTTTACAAGTACTTATGCAAAGAGATTTTTCATAGAGTTATAAAATTGAACCAATCTCTGCGGATCCGACCCCTTTACCATTATACATTATTTTAGTCTAAAAGATTTAGGGTTATATTTTTGTTGGCCTCGACAACCACCAACCATCCATGTTTTCCAAAAACAAGGATTATAACATCTTACTAAATAATCTAACAAAGCTTGCAAAAATGGCCCTGATACCAATTGTTGGGTTTTTATTCAAAAATAATATAATTATAGTGTCAAACTTGACGTAATTAACAACGGAAACGATTTTACATTTAAATAAACTAAATTTTTTTTACCCACCAATGATCATTTTGCAAAGCCATGAAATATTAAAACAACCATGGAAAAGGGGAAGATTACAACATTCAAAGTCTTTGGTTCCTTTTGGCAATTAAGAAGCCGATGAAGATGGCAAACGACTCAAAGAAGAGTTTCTCTAGAAGTATCCACCAAACAAGAATCAACCACCATAAGATGCTAGTATTCACTTGTATATATGGTGTTCTTAATCCATTAAGACATATACTAAAATATGCCTATGGAGAAACAACATATGAGGCTTTAAATTTTACACCAAAAATACAAGACCAAGGAGAGGGGAGATCCCATTATACCTATAATTTTATAGGAGAAAAAGAAGAGAAGAAGATGCAAAAGAAATAACTCATTTCTTCTAATATACTCATCGTTATATACCATACTTTATGTATTAATTCACCATACCATTAATCAAATCAAAGGATGTACAAAAGGACAAGTATGGGAGGAAAAAATAAGACCAATGCTCCATCTCTTCCCATAGAAGAGGATCTTCGACATACCATGGTGGTAGGCCCAAGGTGTGATCTTTAATCCAACACATAACTAGCTTAGTTAGATGCAACTTTAATGGTTACTCAAAGTGGCTAAAATGTTGTACACAACATTAATAATCATACCATATGTTATTTCATTGCATCATTATTTCATAGAAATAATAATTCCCAATATGTTGGTAAAACATTATTTTCATAAAATAATGTTTTCCAGTTAGATACAAGTGTTAATTATATTTGTTAATAATCAAATTATTATAATAAATAATCAATTGGTAGTAACTTGCTATAAGGTGTGACCCTATATGATCACGTGTCATTAGCAATATTATTCTGTAATGACTCTTGAGCATATAGATCTTTTATTATTTTCCCAAAATTGTCCTTACCCTTCTATTATGTGTTTAATCTGTCCTTATTTACATACCCTTCCTATGTGTACCAACTAAAATAGATTTGCTTTAAATTAAAAGTATTCAATTGAACCTTGCCTCCATTTTCTTGATGGCAACCCTTGTTGTAATTGTATTCATCTTTATGGACCATTTTGCCCATATATTATTATTATTATTTTGTTCAACTTTGTGGACCATTACTTGACAACAAAAGTGGATTGTTGTTTCTGGTCTTTCTAATTCTTTCTTATAACCAAAGACTGGTACAATTAGGGTGACCCTAATCGTGAAATGTAAGTGTCCCATCCCCTTCTCTCTCTCTCTCTCTCTCTCTCTCTCGCTCTCTCTCTCCATCTTCCTCTAGCTTTGTATATAATCGTGCAGACATAGGACCCCAAAAAATGTATAGAAGCGATAATGTTAGACCATTTTTGGTGGGTATTGTTTTATGAGTATTATACAATATGTGGTATACATGGACCAGACTGTTAGCAGAAAAAAAGATTTCCTTCCCATTATTATCTTTATTCTTTATGAGTATTATAGAATACGTGGTATACATGAAATATAAGTTTCCCTCTCTCTCACTCTATATATAATCGTGCAGACATAGGACTCCAAAAGGATATATATATATATATATAAGCGATTGTGTTAGACCATTTTTGGTAGGTATTGAATGATGGGTATTAATTTATGAGTATTATACAATATGTGGTATACATGGACTAAACTCTTAGTAGAAAAAGGTTTTCCTTCCCATTATTATCTTTATTCTTTAGTAAAAAAGGTTTTCCTTCCCATGTGACAATTGTACACTGTTTAACTGGTGATTATTCTTTAGCTAAATGTTTTCCAACTTTTAATAGAATCCAAAACAGGCAAAGCATGATTATTCCTTCTACATACAAAATAAGACTTCATGTTTCACAAGCCATTTTATGGATTTAGTAGAAGATGAAGCCATGAGAGGACCGAAGAAGTATAAGTAGATGAAGTAAGAGAAGAAAAATCTCAGGTAGTTCCTGCTGCTAGCCCTAATTCGATTAAAAGAAGACAAATATATTAATAAATGTCATCTCACCTACTCTTATGCCATGTTATTAGTTGTTAGACCAACTCACCAATATTTAATTGAAGTCATCATTTTATCAATAAGAATCGGTTATCACTAGGTAGGATTTGAACAAAAATTATATTTTCTTAACATTTTTTTTTGTATACAACCTTTAGTTGGATGGTTTTCTTTTAAACAAACAAAACTTCAATCGTTTTTTAACAATTTTGAAACATCATTTTCCTGGTAAGTCATTTCCCCCCACGTTAATGAAAACGTAGGCTTTGGACATTTGGGCACCTTAGGGCCTAGACCAACGGGGTTTAGGTTTATATATCTTTGCTATTAACCGGATCCACTAAAATACGGTGTTCGCATTTCTTTTCCTTTATTATCCAACAGAACTTCATATTCATGGCTCGCTGCAATCCCTTTCTTCGTGTTCTTCAATTGGGGGTTTTGAACACTTAAATTTATCCACCACAGCTTCAACCTTTTTTTCCTTTGTTACTCCCAAACCGATATTTCCTACTCTTCTTCAATTATTCCTATTAGTTTTCGGGGCTCAAATCAATATAAAGGGACATGGGGAAGAATCAGGCGTACAAGGCGATGCAGAGATCAAGGGTGGGATCTACCTCAGGCGGCCCCGATGATGTGGATGACGGCATGGTTTGTACCCTTCCATATCATATTTTCAGTGGATTTGTTGTTATTTTCATTGTGCACAGTATTCAGATGAAGAAACATGTTAACTCGTGGTATGATATCGTAACCAATAAATCTTTGGTTGAGGATGAGAAGAGGCAGGGGGTTGTGACTTCTCTAGAGCCTAATTCCCTGTTTCTCTTTGTTAGAATCGCTTACTTTTTAGCTCAATGACTGATAAGGGTTAGCTAAATACTCTGTTAACATGGTGATTAGACCTGCGAATTGATTTTTGTGTGTCCAACCTTTAGGCATAGAGTTGTGATTGTGAAGATATAAGTTGAAATAATAGATGCTCAAATATGATTCTGATGACTTTGGATAAATCTGAATAGGCAGGAAACAATACAAACATGTTTTTTATTGTTCCATGATGGCTTCATTTTATAATTTCTTTGGATTTCTTTCATATTTGGTGTCTGGGACAGAATATTTTAGGAATTGCAAAGTTTTATAGTCAGTTTTGTTTGAATTTGTACCCTTTCTGATTAAGAGAGTCGCAGGTGGATGGTTCATTTCATTCACCAGAGTGGCATGCAGCTCGTTTGGCCAGCCTCAAAACTTCACATACAGTTACTTGGGAAGAGTACAAAAAGAAGCAAAAGGTAACTATTTATCTTCACTTTTGACTCCTCTCCTCTGTAGAGTGTATGTAGATCTCCAAATGATAAATATCTTGTTTTGATGTTGAATGTACTACCACTATCTAGTTCTTTTTCATCATCAATACATATTGCTTTTTCTTGTTGAAATTGACTGACATGGTAGTTTGGTTTCAAAATTCTGGTTTCCTGAACTCCCTTTAAATGATATTGGACAAGCAATTGGGAAAACAAAACGGAATGAAAAAACAAAGTAGGGAAAATTTGTAAACAGTTAGAACTTTTTGTATGCATTAAATGGAAAAGAAACATTCATAGGATTAAGCTCTGTCCCGGTTAAGTTCAATAAGTCAAAGAAAGAAGAGAAAGAAGAAGTTACTTGTTTTCTGGGATGTTTAGGGTGTGTTTGGTTGTGAAATTTTTTCCAGTTTTCTAGGAAAATTTTCCAAGAAAAACGGAAATTTTGAAAACGCGTTTGGTTCGTTCAGTTTTCCAAAATTTTCCAAGAAAATGAAAATTTTCAGTTTTCCAAATTGTATGTAAATTAGAAAAGTGTTTTTTACAGTTTTCCAAAGTTTTCCAATTTTCTAAGATGGAAAATGAAAACTCCCCCGGTTTCAACCAAACGTGTTTTCTAAAATTTTCATTGAAAATTGAAAACGAAAACTCAACTCTATTTTCTGAAAACATTTTCTCAGAAAATGAAAACAGTTTTCCACAACCAAACGCACCCTTAGGGTGCGTTTGGTTGCGGAAAAATGGACCGTTTTCCGGAAAATTTTTCCAAGAAAAATGAGAATTTTGAAAACACGTTTAGTTTGTCTATTTTTCTAAATTTTTCACGGAAAATGAAAATTTTCCATTTTCTAAAATTACAAAGAAGTTGGAAATTTTTGGAAAACCAATAATCATTGTTTTCCACATTTTTCTAATTCCAAAATTTTTCTAAAATATAAACACATATCCACTCTCACCTCTATCTACCCTCACCATAACACCTCCAACCCACCACACCCCTACCTACCCACACCCACCCACCCACACACTCACACATACAAACACACCCACACCCACACACAACCATAAACAAACACCCACACACAACCGCAAACAAACACCCGCACCCACACCCACCCCCACAAACACACATACACACACACACACCCACACCCACCCCCACATCCACCCCCACACACACCGACCCACACACACACAAATACACACCCACCCCAACCCCCACCCACACCCCCACAAACACACACACCCACACCCACTCCCACCCCCATAAACACACACACCCACAAACACACACACCCACACCCACCCCCACCCCCATAAACACACACACACATACACACCCACCCAATCAACACCACTACCACAATCACCGACCTACCATCACCAACATCACCACCGCCGCTTCCACCACCACCGTCGCCATCATCGACACCACCACTGCCCCCACCCCCAGCCTACCACCGGTACCGTTTTCTAAAAATGAAAACCGATAGAAATATACACATCTAAACACGTTTTCTAATTTTCTAAAACTGAAAATGAAAAATGAATAATTTTACCTAAACGCGTTTTCTATATTTTCCAATGAAAAATGAAAACGGAAAACGAAAATTGAAAAGGGAAAACCAAAAACGGAAAATGAAAACTGTTTTTCCGTAACTAAACGCAACCTTAGGTGGCGTGTTTGGTTTTCTAGTTTTCCAGAAAATCTTTCTAAGAAAAAAAAAGTTTAGAAAACATGAAATTTTTTCTAAGAAAAGAGAATTTTCCAATTTTCTAAAATACATATAACTTGAAAATGTGATAAATGTTGTTTTCCATACCTTTTCATTTTTGAAGTTTGTGTAAAATATAAACCCCACCTACCCCAACACCACACATCCACATCCACATTAGATAATATGTTAAATATTGTGCTATTTGAAAATTGAAATAACAAAAAATGAAAACTGGTAGAAATTACACATCCAAACACGTTTTCTAATTTTCTAAAATGGTAAATGAAAACTTAACCAAACGTGTTTTCCTAAATTTTCTACTAAAACCTGAAAATGAAAACTCCATTCCTTTTTCTAAAAACCTTTCCAAGAAAACCGAAAACAGTTTTCCACAACCAAACACATCCTTATATTCTCTGATTGCCGCAGCTGCTATTTAATTATTAATATATTGGGAAGCCTTTAAAAAATTTGATTTTCCTTTATTTGTGCTGTTGCTTTAATGGCGACTCCTCAACTATAACATGGAGTTAAGTGGCAGTGTTGAATGATTATATTTATATAGATAGGAAAATATCTAATTTGTTTTTGTTAGGAAGAAGAAATTAAAAAGGGGGAGTTAGAAGCTGACAAAGATAGAATGATGCGGGAATATCGAGCTCAACTAGATGCAGAACGGGCAAGCAAGCTTGCCCATGGCAAAAACCACTCTAAAATTAAATCTACTCAGAGGAAGAAGGGTATTTATGTCCATTACAAATTTACAATACCTCAAGTCCTTTATATACATAATCCTATTGCCCCTTGTTGCAGATAATAAGAAGGACAAAGATCTCAAGAAGCGCTCCAACAAAAAGAGAAAGGTGCCTTGGAATTCTTAGACTATTTTTATTAGAAAAGAATGCTCCAAAAATGGATATTCTTGCTTTTTTGATCCCTGTGGTTTGGATTTTCTCCTAAACCCATCTCATAATGGCTGTTTTGCTCCTATTTATATATATATTTTAAAGGATGAAAAGTAACTAATTTTTTTTTTTGTTTCCCGTAATAAAAATAATAGCGTTTGAGGAAATCTTGTGGGTCTAGTTCTTCTTCAAGTTCGTCATCTGAGTCTTCAAGTAGTGATGATGAGGATGATTCCAGAGAATCAAAAAGAAGGTCAAGATCAAGATCAAGGTCAAGAAAGAGGAAAGACAAGAGGCAGAGCTCAAAATCCAAGCATTCAAGTGGTGATGAACATGAGGCAGATGGGCCTTTGCCCCTCTCCAGGTTCTTTGGGAACACAAAGAACTGATGTTAATTTATCATCAATATCACTAAATCAATGAATGATTATTGTTTATGTTTTACCCTGTAGTAAACTGTGAATTAACCAGACATAGTGTGATACATTTGCGGTTTTTAGACTCATGTTTTTTGAGGTTGGGTTAAATTATTTTCCGTAGCACCTGAATCTGAATGAATGGAATGTTATGCGATGGTATTTATGTCACCAAAGCTTCAATTTCTTTGTAATTTTCAATTGTTTCTTTATCATTAGTTACTACTCATGGATTTTCCTATATTGTGTTTCTATTTAAATTTTGGTGTTGGTTTCTCTCCACTCATCTTGTGTTGATTTCTCGTTGTGATTTGATGATTGATTGATATGAGATTAGATCAATAAATCATTTTGATGATCGTTAGAATCTTGGTACTTTCGATCTGGTTCAACTTTGTTGGACATTGGATTTGGGATTGCAACAACTAGGTGTACCTTGACTTCTACACAAGTAGTTTGTATAGTATCAAGGCATAGGTTTTAGTTTGACGGACATGACTCGTGTTACATTAGTAAATGTCATCATTATAGCAAAATTTCTATTGCTGTAACCTACTAGGTGAATCTTGAGTTATACAAAAGTGATAGGTCATAGTTGTACTTGAACCTTAAAAGATGTTGCAATTTGCATAAAATAGGAAAAATCAGTAATAATAGGCAGTGAATTAGGTGGCTTTCATGATATAATGGAACATCTCATCTGTAGTATCAAAGCATGGGTTTTAGCTTGATAGACATGATTCGTGTTTACATTAACATATGTGATCATTATAACAAGATTTATATTGGTGCAAACTACTGGGTGTACCTTGATTTATACACAAGTGATAGGTACACCTAAAAGATGTTACAATTTGCATGTAACATTCCAATAACCATAACTTTTATTTATTTATTTATTTTGAAAATCAATCATGTCATTTTCAAAATAAGAGTTTCAGACCATGTCAAAACACAATTAATGTAAAATAAACATCATTAAAATACGGAAACTTGAGTTTTAGTTTTGAGATTTCCTAACATAAATTAAATAACATAGATAGGTGCCACCCCTAAGAATGTCCATATCCTCCAAATCAAGCCAGCTCTTTGCCCTTCGCACCTAAAGAACCTGCAACTAAACAAAAGTCGCAATTGTAAGCCTACGACTTAGTGAGTAATCACACACACACACACACACACACACACACACACACACACACATATATATATATATATATATATATAATATATATATATATAATATATATATATATATATATATATATATATATATATATATTGGAACGGCGGAAATTTTATAAAAAACTAGCAAGAAGCTAGAAAAAAGACATGACAACATATTACAAGCTAAAAGAGGTTATGTAACCAAGAAGTCCAACCTATTTTAGCTTTGCTACATCTATTAGAAATCCAAAAGAAAGCCCTATCTATCACCTCATCAAAAAGAACCGATTTCCTAGGCAAAGTTGATCAAAAAATAACGGAATTGCAAAAATCCCATAAACACCATAAAGTGGTCAAAATTACCACATCAAAAGCTTGACGAATACCACCTCTAAGGGAAATAGAATTCGACCACGCAAGGAGGGAATCAATAGAAAAATGTTGAGGAGACCGAACATCCCACCAAATAGTAACACGGGTCCATATCTCAATCAACTGGCTATAACCTGCAAAAAGTGATCAATAGTCTCAACAGCAGTGGTGCAGACAAGGCATAAAATCGAGTCAACCGTAATGCCTTGATGAGAAAGTCTCTCTCTAGTAGGAATACTATATAATCGCAATCTCCAAATGAAGATGTTCAACTTGATACAAACCCAATTATTCCATCTAGTTTCACATCCACCGGTGAACAACATCCTATTATCCGAAAAAGTAAGAGCAGAAAAGACAGAGAAAGAATCAGACACGTCAATAGTCCACCCTAAACGATCAGGACTTGACTGAAACTGAATGTCATGTATCAAAGAAGTAAGAGCATCCCACTGAGTCTACTCGATGCCTCCCCTTGGAATCCGTCTGAGAGAATCAATATTCCAACCAAATAACATCCTATCTCGGATCGATGCTGATTTGTGAATGTCCAGGGCAAAAATCCTATGAAAAGATAAAGCCAGAGGAGCACCCACTTCCAAACATCATGCCAAAAAGAAGTAACTCTCCCATCCCCAATCCTAATGGGGCAATAAGACTGAAGATCTAAGTCACGGTATTTAAGCTGAACTAACATCCGAATAAAATAACTGGAACTCCTTCTTAACCCTCCCAAGGTCGTCAACCCAAATTCCATCTATCATAACAATCCTGATAGCAAGCTGACGCCTCTTTCAATGGATAGTGCTGTGAAAAAAACTCGAGTTCTCGTCCCCCTCTATACCCCACTGAACTTTCGCCTTCTAAGCCAACTCCACCCTAGAAATATGATCCAAGTCTGTCAAATCTTTAATAGTTGAAACCCTTTGTTCTCGAAGGTCGGCACTACCACCATCAAGCATAAGAGAAGCATCAATGGACTCTATCTTGTCTTGCAAAATTTTTCTCTTTCCAATCAATCGATCTCGAGTGCAAGAGTTCCAAACTTTTAGATTAGATTTAAGAAGCTGAAGTTTCTTCTTAAAAATAACTCAAGGATTATCAAAAATACCCCCATCAACAACAGTAGACCAAGAGTCATGAACCACAGCATCAAAACCATCCAACTCAAACCAGGAATGAAATAAACGAAAAGGAGATGGGCCATAAACAACACGGTGCTCCAACAAAATACTAGGGCGATGATCTGGAATATTTTTTTTCTAGAACTAAGCCTGTGAGGTGAGGAAAAGACCTCAAGATGACTTCGAGAACCAAAAACGATCTAGTTTACTAAACTTCGACCCCCACCTGTCACTCCAAGTAAACCAAGGACCACCCAAAGGAATATCAACCAGATCCGCCTGATCAATAAACTGATTAAAATTCCTAGCTGGATTAGGGTAGAATTGAGAACCCAATCTTTTAGACTCATCCCTGACTTCGTTAAATTCTCCATAACAACACATTCCCCCAAAAAAGAAGCAATCAACTGAGAAATCTCACCCCAAAGTTGCCTTTTACTTTCAGCCCCTTGAGGGCGTAAACTGAAATAAGCAACATATCCAAACCAGTAACTGACCAAACTCCCTCCACCGCCACATACAAATCATAAATGATCACTCTATTATGAATAAAATGATCCGGGTCCCAAATAAGTATAATACCTCCCGAAAAGACAGAGAAAGAATCAGACACGTCAATAGTCCACCCTAAACGATCAGGACTTGACTGAAACTGAATGTCATGTATCAAAGAAGTAAGAGCATCCCACTGAGTCTACTCGATGCCTCCCCTTGGAATCCGTCTGAGAGAATCAATATTCCAACCAAATAACATCCTATCTCGGATCGATGCTGATTTGTGAGTGTCCAGGGCAAAAATCCTATGAAAAGATAAAGCCAGAGGAGCACCCACTTCCAAACATCATGCCAAAAAGAAGTAACTCTCCCATCCCCAATCCTAATGGGGCAATAAGACTGAAGATCTAAGTCACGGTATTTAAGCTGAACGAACATCCGAATAAAATAACTGGAACTCCTTCTTAACCCTCCCAAGGTCGTCAAACCAAATTCCATCTATCATAACAATCCTGATAGCAAGCTGACGCCTCTTTCAATGGATAGTGCTGTGAAAAAAACTCGAGTTCTCGTCCCCCTCTATACCCCACTGAACTTTCGCCTTCTAAGCCAACTCCACCCTAGAAATATGATCCAAGTCTGTGAAATCTTTAATAGTTGAAACCCTCTGTTCTCGAAGGTCGGCACTACCACCATCAAGCATAAGAGAAGCATCAATGGACTCTATCTTGTCTTGCAAAATTTTTCTCTTTCCAATCAATCGATCTCGAGTGCAAGAGTTCCAAACTTTTAGATTAGATTTAAGAAGCTGAAGTTTCTTCTTAAAAATAACTCAAGGATTATCAAAAATACCCCCATCAACAACAGTAGACCAAGAGTCATGAACCACAGCATCAAAATGTCACACCCCAAAACCGAGAACGGCGGAATACGTTCTGGGGTGGAGGACGTCATGTACAGTATCATAACAAAGCATAATAGTAAAGACAAGCAACAACATCCATTGCATTAAGATAATAATTGTAATACAACGTGTTCAGTACAAATGTTAGACACCAAAAATACAATCAAAATAAGGTGGAGTCTTATGTGTGCTCCGTCTTCTCAAAAGCGGCATCCGTACCTGTCTACTGATGACCTGAGAATACAAGTTATTTTGAAAACGTTTATCAGCATAAAGCTGGTGAGTTCATAAGTATTTAGTGTCATTTCCTGTATAAAAATATTCATAATTATACATTTGTAAAATAAAGTTTCGGTGTTTGAAAATAGTATGAGCCCTAGAAAACCCTATGTTTTCCAGAAAAAGGTAGTCTTCACTAAGACCCGATGGTTTGTTTGTTCCTTTGATAATGTACAAGTTTTCCCAGTAGTTATTTGTTTGAAAATATAGTTTGACTTTATCCATGTATAGTTATGAGAAAAATGTTTTACCCCAACAGTATCACTGTCGGCCATATGTAATGAAATGCAGGCTCCAGGTAGTATTAAATGTACAATACTCCTCAGGGAGTCTGTTGCCTTTAATTTTTAAAGTATTAATTAAAGGTTTGAATGTGAACTCGTACGTAACCATGCTGATTGACGATCGAATCCCTTTGACCCTCCGAGTCATATGTAAATGTGACATTTTGTCACCCCTGGGCCTAGACGGCTCGGACTGTAGCTAGCAGTCGGGATGTGGGAGTGTCTGTCCCGTATAGATCTATACACATAATGCCCGCTCTCCCTCCAGGAGACTCTGGTTATGCGGTGATAGCACAAAGATGTGTCGTATCGAGAAATAGTATGTCACATTCTATTTTAGTAAGTTCTCTTGTATAGTATGTAGTGTTCTCTTTGTATAGTACATAATGTTCTCCTTGTATAGTATATAGTGTTCTCTTGTATAGTATATAGTGTATATTGACTCACAACTGAACTGACTCTAGTAGTTGTCATGGCAATAGTAGCATTGAGTAGTGTCCCTTAACTATACCTATTATAGTTAAGATATGAAGACTTTTATATCTGACA